TTTCCATTTTGGAGCCAGAATCTGTAGAAAGAAATAGACCAAATATCCAATATGTTAATATGTTAATAGTTAATTGGGCATATAAATGCCCATCAAAAGGACAGATCATCCCCACCCTACAAAATTCTAAAGTGGATATATTTTCATGGACAGATGAAAAAGCATCCGAGGTTCGGGTTCAGTCAGGTCAAGGTAGTGACTGGGATACTGTATTTTGTGGGGCTGGAGATGTAGCCATTAACCAAGCATGAAGCATAACAGCTGACTGGCTTCTCTTTCAGCAAGTGTCCTCAATATGGATCAGTATTCTGAGACACCATAGGACTGACATGGGGTTACTCCCAGCCACTGTAAACAAGCTGCCTTGACTACAGTGGTATCTATTCTAATTATATGGTGACACATAGCATTACCATATTGGTCAAAGACAGCAAGAACTGGCATAAAATTCTTAATAGCTTCTGGATTTTCTGTTTACAATGTCACTCTCTGTTGGCCAATGTAACTTAAACGTAGATTGGATTATTAAAAGGTTAAGTGAAATATAGTGCGTGCCTTCTAACACTGGCATGCATATCCATCTGAAATAGTATGAGAGAAAAACGCTAAATTATTCCTTGACTGCTGGAATGAGGGGATAGGCATGGGAATGAAGATGGGCATCACACCCTGGTTCTAGCTATTTTGGAGGTCATAGACAGGCTCAATTCATCATAAAAAAACACAAAATTCTTAATTTTTTTTTTCTGGGATAGATAGCTTATAATGCTGGATTGGCAAACAAAAGATTATGATTTTAAGAGATGTTAACTCAGATTTCACCCTGTAAGTTACCTTGGTCTTGACTATCAGGGGGAGAATATCTGATTTTATTTTAATTCAGAGGTTGGGGAATATAGAGATAAAGCAAAGAAACGTTTTGAATATGAGGTGAGAATTCTGGATTGTATCATTGCCAAAGTGTGGATGGTGTCAACCCTTGATGGAGCCCAAGAAAGGGAGAGGTCATAGTTATGGATACTGGACATATGTAGTGTGTTTTTGGTGCTAATGTAAATGGTATTGTGTTCTTAATTTTAAATCCCATTTGTTCATTGTAAGTACATAGGAAAGCAATTGACTATGGCATATTAACCTTATCCTGCAACTTTGCTATAATCACTTATTATCTCCTTTTTTGTTTTTGTTTTATTTTTGCTGACTCAGATTTTCTACATAGACAATCATGTCATTGGTAAACAAAAACATTTTTATGTCTCCCTTCCCATTAGGTATGTTTTCTTTTCCTTGCTGAATTGCAGTAGCAAGGAGTTCCATCACAATGCTGAAAAGAGTGATGAGAGGGGACAGTCTTGACTTGTGCTTGATTATAATGGGAAAGCTTAGGGTTTGTCACCATGAGATACTATACTATCTTAGCTGTAGTTTTTTGTACATACTCTTTATCAAGTTGTATTCCTAGTTGTATTCCCCTGTATTCCTTGTTTCTGAGAGTTTTTATCATGAATGGGTGTTATAGTTTTGTCAGATGCTTTTTCTGCATCTCCTGGTTTAATTGCATTTAAAAAACCATGATATGTAGTTTTTCTTTTTTACTCTTTATATATTATGGATTATATTGATTCTTAAATCATTCCTGGGATAAATCCTATTTGATCATGGTATGTAATTCTTTCATATTTCTTTGTATTCAGTTTGCTAATATTTTGTTGAAGAGTCATGAGAGATTTTGGTCTGTAGTTTTCTTTTCTTGTAATGTCTTTGTCTGGTTTGGGTATTAGGATAATGCTGGCCTCAGAAGATGAGTTAGGAAATATACCCTCTGCTTCTATCATCTGAAAGAGATTGTAGAGAATTGGTATAATTTCTTCCTAAAATGTTTGGTAGAATTTACTGGTGAACCCATCTGGGTCTGGTACTTACTGTTTTGGAAGGTTGTTAATTATTGATTCAATTTCTTTAATAGATACAGGACTGTTTAGATCATCTATTTCTTCTTGCATGACTTTTAGCAAATTGTGTCTGATACATGTATTCTTCAGTAGCTGAAGTTGCACTGTAAGATTTTGGATTCTGTGCCTTTTATTTAACATTATAACCTAAGTTTTCCCCAGTATTATGAAAAATCCCCGTACATATTTTAATGACAGCATGATAGTGTTTCATAATTATTTTACCTTTTCTTAAATGTTGGACACTTAGTTTGGCTATATGGTTACAAATAATGATACAGGAACAAAAAACTATACATTAGATTTTTTTTTAATCAAGGATCATTTCATTCAAAAAACTTCTTTTAACACCAACAGCTCTTTTAGAAATGCACTTAATAAATACTGATTGAATATCTGCTGTGTGCTAGTCATTGTTCTAGATGCTTAAGGTATAATACGAACAAAAAGAAGTCTCTGTCCTAATGGAATACATTGTAGTAGAAGAGGGTAAGATAATAAATGCATAATGGTAATTTTAGATAGTGTTAACTATTACAAATAAAATAGGTTAATGGGATAGAATATATTGGGATGACTAGGGGTAGTTAGTTTAGGTTTCTCTAAGCAATTACATTTGACCTGAAGCATGAATGATGTGAATAAAGCAAGATTTTGGAGATCAGTATAGGCAAAGACTTAAAGAGCATCATAATAAGCTTGGCCTTTTCAAGGGACAGAAAGGCCAGTGTGGCTGGAGGGTAGTGAAAAAGGGAATAGTTGAACTTGAGGTTTGTGAAGTAAGCAAGGGCATGTCTTGCAGAGCCTTGTAAGTGCCATATTATATAGTTCGGTTTTTATTCTAATTTTAATAGGAAGCTACTTAACCAGATGAATGATGAGGTCAAATTTGTATTGTTTTGAACGATCACTCTGGCTTTAAAGTGGAGCAATAGGTACTGAACCCAAAAACCCAGGAGTCATCTTGGATCGCTCCCTTTCCTTTAGTTCCTACCTCCAATCAGTTCTGTTTTAATATACTCCTAACTTTTCCCTCTTTGAGTTCATCCTCTACCCTGATGACAGAAGTGATTGTTTTCCTTTCTTAAGGCAAATCTGATCATTTAAATCTACTTGTAGAAAAATTTATCAACAAGAAAATTACATTCATTGCCTTTGCTGGTGTACATTAACCATTACCAACTATTAAGTCTTTGTCTTGTTTTTAAAGTCTCACAAATTACTTACGGTGAATTATGGGTGATCTTTCTGTTTCTTAAAATAGAATTTGTGCTATCATAATAAAAACAGTATGGTACTGGCTAAAAACAGACAAGTAGATCAGTGGGACAGAATTGAGAGCCCAGAGATAAACCCACACATATATATGTCAGCAATTAATTTGTGACAAAGGAACCAAGAACATACAGTGGAGAAAGAATAGTCTTTCAATAAACAATGTTGGGAAAACTAGACAGCCACATGCAAAAGAATGAAACTATACCACTACCTTACACCATACACAAAAATGGACTAAATACTTGAATGTCAGACCTGAAGTCATAAAATTCCTAGAAGAAAACCTTGGTAGTAAGCTCCTTCACACTGATCTTAGTAATGTTTTTGTGGAAGGGAAAAGCAGGGAAAACAAAAGCTAAAGTAAACAGATGGGACTATATAAAACAAAACTTGTACATGGCAAAGGAAATCATCAAAATGAAAGATATTTGCAAATCATATGTCCAACAAAGGGTTAATATCCAAACTAGATAAAGAACTCATGCAACTTAACAACAGTAAAAAAAACCCAAATAAAAAATGGGAAAAGGATCTGAAAATAGATCTTTCCAAAGAAGACATACAGATAGCCAACAGGCACATGAAAAGATGGTCAACATCATTAATTATTAGGGAAATGCAAATCAAACTCACAATGAAATATTGCCCTACATCAGTTAGATTGTCAACAAGACAAGAAATAACAAGTGTTGTTGAGGATGTGTAGAAAAGGGAACCCTCATACACTGTTGGTGGGAATGAAAGCTGGTGCAGCCTCTATGGAAAACAAAAAATTAAGAATAGAACTACCATATGATCCAGCAATTCTACCTCAGAGTATTTATCCAAACAACATAAAAACACTAATTTGAAAAAGATACATGCATCCTAGTGTTCATAGTAGCATTTTTTACAGTAGCCAAGATATGGAAACAACCTAAATGTCCATTGATGAAGGAATGGACAAAGAAAATATGGCATATTTACATGATGGAATACTACTCAGCCATAAAAAAGAATGGAATCTTGCCATTTTTCCTTAAGGGTATTATGTTAAGTGAAATGAGTCAGGAGAAAGACACAAACAACATGGTTTCACTCCTGTGTGGAATTTACAAAAAAAAACAAAACAAAAACTAACTCATAGATGCAAAGAACGGATTGGTGATTATCACAAAGAAAGGGGGTTGAGGAGTGAGTGAAATAGATGAAGAAGGTCAAATGTACAGTGATGGATGGTAACTAGTCTTTAGTGGTGATCACTGTGTAATGAATGCAGATGTCAAATTATAATGTATACCTGAAACTTATATAACATTTATTAATTTTAGCTCAAAAAAATAAGGGGATTTGTAATATAAGTATTAGTGTTATTAGAGGAGTACTACCAAATGCTGGTTTTAGACATTAAGATTTGGTCTACCTTTATCCAGTAAAAAGTAAAATAGGAGAGAGGGCTTTAAAACAAATGAATACCAAATGAGAAAAATAGTAGGTTGGTACAGTTGCTACTAATTTGTTGCTGTGGTTCAAGTTGATCCCTATTGAAAATATTTGAGAAGTTTACTTGCATTTTATCATATTACAGGGATTATGAAGTCTATCATTGTTTATCACATATACTATTCAGTTAGTAACTCTCAGCATGGATTTTTATAAAAGTCATTTTAAATCCAAATTATTTAAAATGGTAAGTCTAATTTTCACATTGGCATACAAAATATTATATAAACCAAATGTTGTGAAGTTCAATAAGCAAGTTTTAACTCTGTTTGCTTGTTTGTTTGGCAGCCTTGCATTGCATCCTGAACGAGTACTGGTAGCAACAGGACAAGTTGGGAAAGAACCTTACATCTGTGTTTGGGATTCATACACTGTGCAGACCGTATCAGTTCTAAAGGATGTCCATACACATGGTATAGCTTGCTTAGCATTCGACGTAGATGGACAGGTATGTGATAATATCTTTTTCTAAACTGTGTTTTAAAAATATGTACTATAAAAATGATTATAAATCCATAAATATTGAATTGGAAAGCAGTTGATGAAAATAACTTGTTTGTGAGTAGGTGGGGTGGGTGGTGTATGTAGGGAAAATAGGAACGCTAAGGTTTTTTTCACACATCAAGAACTTCTCAGTTGAATTAATTACTATTATGAAAATCAAGATTCTTTTCCATGGAATAATATATATATAATTATACATATAATTCTCTTCCAGGTAGTATATGTTGATAGGACAGATGGAAGACATCTTAGGAAAATTGAATTTCTCTGAGTAGAGCTGTATGTTTTAATTCTCAGTTACAGTTTTCTATTAAAATTATATTTTTTATTGAAAATAATCAAGCAGTTCCTATAATATTGGCTATTTTTATATTAATAAGTTCCCAAATTATTATCTACCTCTAATCAATGATTTTTAAAAATTAAGCATGCCAAGAGCTTTTTTGTGGTGCTTCCAAGGAACTATTATACCTAAAACATATTTAAGAAGTGGTAAGAAGTTGGATTTTGCAGGTGTGGTTAATTTATAGTTTTTAAAAAACTTTTACATTAAAATTAGACTTTAAAAATTAACATTTTAACTTTTAGGAAAATTTTACTTATCTGCTCTTTGATTCATAAAATTGATTTTGTACATCTGTATTTCACAGAAACAGATTACATTGTGTTCTATTCCCTTGAAAATGATAGCCAGTAGATGTTTTATTTATAATTCTAATGAATAGATTCTTTGAATATCATGGATTAATATGACTTTCTTGGAAGAGTCTGGTAAGGGATCTATAAAGACTTAACTGGAACCTCTCTTTTGGGAAATGATGTGCTTCTAGGTTTAATATCACTGAGTAGCAGTGATTGGCAGTTACAGAACCTTTATTTGTGTCCCCATTTTGCTATATTTCAAATCCCTAAATATCCTCACATCTACTTTTTTAAAGGAAGAGAATAATACTCTTTACCTACTTCACAGTAGATTAAATTTTAGGAAACATACCTACAAAGTTGTTTTTAAAAGTCGTTTACCAAAGGTGTTATGAAATCCAAGGTATTTTAACTACAAGTGTTTATATACTTTAAATACAGATGTTTTCTTCTTAACTTTGAAATTGCCCTTTCTAAAGTAATAAGGAATTTCTCGTACATATATGGAAAGAAATCATGACCATAACTTTGACTAGTTGACTAGGTGAAAACCTCTAATTTCACTTATTTTAAGCAATTTATAAGAGAAGTCTTGGGTGTAAGAACATAGTGATTTAATCCTCCATTTACCCCATGGTCCCAAGCACTTAAGCCGGTGAGAATTATGCCGGAGGCTTGCCTGGGTTTACCCGGCTTTATCTCTAAACGTCCCGACCCTCCCCCAAAGCAGCAGGCCGAGCGGATCCACAATAAAAGGCACCACGCTGCTGCCTCTCTCTGTCTCTGCTGCTCTCTCTCTGCTCTCTGCTCTCTGTCCCGCTGCTCCCTCTCTCTCTTTCTCCACTTCCACTTCTGGGGCAGCCACTCTCTCCTTCAGATAATAAAGTCTCTTGCGTGGGTCCGTGTCTCCTGAGTCGTTCTGGGTAAGGAGGGTCGCGGCGAGATACGCTTTCATTGGGTACATGTATTTTATTATCACAGATCTTCATGAGAACGTGTTACTTCAAAATTTAAGCTCATAAAAGAGCATGGTAGCCAGAAGTTGCTGAGCATATACTAAGTGCCAGGCATTGTGCTAAGCCATTATCTCATTTAATCCTCACAACAACCCCATGAAATAGAAACTATTATTATCTTTATTTTACAGATAAAGAAACTGAGATTTAGAGAGGTTAAATAACTTGCCCCAGGTTACACAGCTAGTAAATGGAGCCAGAGCTGGAACCCAGGTCAGTCACACTCCAAAGCTCATGTTTTTAACCACAATGCTTTACTGCCTCCCAGACATTTAGGAGGTGGTCATGTCTCGAAACGAATTCATCAATCTTAAGTATCTTAAGTACAATTAAAGCTTTTACAGAACTGCTACCAACTGAAGATTAAGAGTATCTCTGAAATTATGTTAATGAGAAAATGCTTTAGTTAAAAAGTGTATTTGAAAACCTAACTATTCACTAATATTTATGAACTGTTTATGAGATACCAACTAGGAAATACTGTATAATTTTTACATTTTCTGGTAGGTTTGAAACACAAATGATCAATTAAGATTTATCCAATGAATAAGTTTCCCTGTTAGTGGTAGTGCTGAAAGTTCTTTTCCCAGAAGCTCTCTTCTGAATGGATTGAAAATTCATGCTAATCCTGGAAGTCTGCCTTATTGGTAATAATTAGAGCCTGAAAGGCCATGTAGATAAATCCGCATCAAACAGGGACTAAAATTTCATTGTAAATGGGAGAGGGGGCTGAAGGAGGGGAAATTTGACTGGTACTTTATCTTGAAAATATTACCATAATTCATAAAAACACATTTTTCATTTTTAACAAAATGCAAATTATAGTTACAGCTCTGTTAATTTGTAGGATGAACTAAAAACAAAGTGTTAAATTTGTTTACCTAATTTGTCAATGATATGCTGGTACAAAATTGAGTTAGTTTACCTTCGACTTTTGGCACATGATTATGAAGAGGGTCATTTTTACAAAAATATTAGAGGAGTTTACTTGTTTTTTCAAAGGCCTTTTAGCAATCTCTTGATATCTAAACATTTCTCAAGTGTCTATTGTATTATGCTTGAATATTCTTTGTTTCTATTGCTTTGCTACACCCTAACTTCTAATGGCTTTATGTATGATTTGAGCACTATTTATTCCATTAAGCTTTGTATCTTTTGCAAAATTTCTGATTTTACTTTGTAACATTGTAACAATTCTTATATAATGAACATTGAGATCAAAGGACCCCTATGCTAGCATATTTTAAGTTTAATTTAATTTAATTAATTTAAGCTTTTGGCCAGTTATGGTTTGCTATGTGTATGGTGAGCTGAGTCAGAGAGGACAGACATCAATAGAAAGGACAGTGCCTTTCTGAATATTCCTCACTTTATACTTGCTTTGTTTTAGCTAGATATTTCTGATACTCTTTATTTTTAAAATATTAAAGATTCTCGAGGGCAAATCATCTCCTCTTGTTCCCCTGGGCTTTCTGCTGCTGGGAATTTATGGAGAGCCATGACAAACTTTATTCTGTGCCTTTTTATGTTAGCCATTTGAAGGTTTAAATAGTAATTTTACTTTGCAGAAAGTCTTTCTAACTGGGTACTAGATAGCATTTCTCATTCAGATGGGTAGAGGACTTGGGTTCTGAAAGCTAAATATGGTCATGGTAAACTAATAATGATGATGATGGTAATGGCAAACAGTTATATAACGTTAACCATATGCCAGGCACTCTTCTACTCCTTTATTCATGTGTATATGTTAATTCTCATATTAACCATATGAGATACTTGTATTATCCCCACTTAATCGGTGAGGAAACTAAGATATAGAGAGGCTAAATAACTGCCCAAAGTAATACGATTAATGAGAGGTGGATCTGGTATTCAAACCTAGGCAACCTGGTAGAAAACCTCTGTTCTAAACCAGAATTAGTAAACTTTCTGCAACAAGTCAGCCAGTAAATAGTTTAAGTTTTGTGGGCCATACAGTCTCTATCTCACCTACTCAGCTCTGCATTGTAGTGTAAAAGCAGTCTTAGACCCCTTGTAAAAGAATGGTTGTGGTTGTGTCCCGGTAAAACTTTATTTACAAAAACAGAGTACAGGCTAGATTTGGCCTGAGAGTTACGGTTTTCAGACCCCTGCTTCTAAACCAGTGCTTTTCAAAGTATGTGTTGTGGTTTAGTCCTTGTGATTTCTTTAACCCTTCAGTTACTTAGAAGTGTATTGTTAGTTTCCAAATATTTGGAGTATTTTCTGCATAACTGTTATTCTAATTTATTCTGTTTTGTCAGAGAATATACTCTATATTTTAATTTTTAAAAATTCATTTAAGCCTATTTTGTGTTTCACGATTTTGTGATCTTCATGAAACTTCATGTGTGCTTGGAAAGGATATGGAAAAATATATACTGTTTCTTTCTGTTTATTGTGCTATTGTTCATTTTATTTCTATATATTTTATAAACCCTGTAATAACTTGTTATTTTTTGCTTTAACGAGTTAGTTTTAAAAGAAAATTAAAAACAAGTCTTATTTACATATTTACCATTTGGGCATGCTTCATATATGTAAATTAAGTCTCTCTTTATCATCTTCCTTCTGCCTGAAGAAACTTCAATTATCATATTGTCTAGTGCAGATTTATTAAAGATGAATTTTCCTCACCTTTTGCTTACTTGAAAAAGACTTTATTCTGACCCAAGTTTCAAAAGATATTCTTGCTAGGTTTACAATCCTGTGTTGGCATTCCCCTCACTGCTCCCAGCAGGTTATTCACTGTCATCTGACATACATAGCTTCAGATGACAAGTCTGGGATAATTTTTTAATCTTTGTTCCTCCATACCAAAATTGTCTTACTTTTTGGCTGCTTTTAAGATTTTTCTCCTTAGTACTCATTTGAACAACTTAATTACCATGGATGATGATGTGTGTATTGAGCATCTTAGATTTGTGGGTTTATGGGTTTCATCAAATTTAGAAAAATTTGACTCTATTTCTTCAGTTTTGTTTTGTTTTTTTATTTTCTTCCATCTTCTCCTTTTGGAACCACAGCTACCTGAATGTATGTTAGACCACTTGCTATTTTTCTCAAGGTAACTGAGGTTCTGTTAATTTTTTTTATTCCTTTTCTTTCTATGCTTTGTTTTGAATAGTTTCTGTTGACATGTCTTCAAGTTCATTTATCTTTTCTTTATTGCCCAAATTGCTGTTAATCCTTTGGAGCATATTTTCATTTTAGATAATTTAACATTTTTATAAATTTTACATGTTCTTCTTTTATAGCTTCCATGTCTCTTTTTATTCTTTGCGTGTTTGTTTTAAAATAATTTGCATCATGAACATTTTCATTTTAACAGCTGATTATCTCCTAATTTTAATCAGCTCTGTGATTCTTGAGTCTGTTTCTATTAGCTAATTTTTCTCTTGGCTGTTGGTTGCATTTTCCTTTTCACATATCCAGTAATTTTTTTAAATTTGGTGCTGGACATTGAGTATGTTATATTTTGAATACTGGATTAGTTGTATCCCTTTAAAGTGTTTTGGACGTTATTCCAACAGGTAGTTAAGTTCCTTGTGGATCAGTTTGACCCTTATGAAAAGTTGCTTTCAAGCTTGTTTTGGGCAGATATAGTGTAGCTTTTTCTCTAGGACTACTGATTTAACTTAACAACTAAGGTGTGACTACATCCCACCAAAATATCCCTACTGAATACCCGGTGAATCCAAAGAGATACATCCATTCTGGCTAATGAGCATTTGAGTGATCCTGATCCTTCATGACCTCGAGGAGTTATTTGGCTTTAGTTCCCCAGCAATTGTTCTTTTTTTAGAATTTGTTCTTTGTATGGTGTCACGGATTTCACCCAATGCATGCAAACATTCATGTTCTCATAAACAAATTTTCAGGGGCTTTTTCTCTGCTCTGTAAATTCCAGCCTTCTTGGTTTCTGAACTCCAGGTTCGCGGGTCTTCTCGGATCAGCAAGTCTTCTGGGTGATACTTGAATTCCACCTTTTTGTGCTGTAGTCTGGAAGCTGCCCCCCAGAGGAAGACAGAGCAATTAACAAGACTCACCTTGTTTCCCTGTCTTTAGGGCTCACAGAACTTTACTTACTGTTATGAATGTCTAAAAAATTTGTATATTTTGTACAGTTTTCTAGTTGTTTACATCAATGGTGCAGGTTCAGCCCTGATATTCCTTCATGGGCAGAAATACCTCTTTCATATTTGTTAACCTCTCACACGTTCCCTCAGTGTCTGCTCCCTTCAGTCTCTTCATCTCCCTCTCATTCCCTATTTAATTCTTCCACTGAGTTTTAAATTTCATTTATTTTACTTTTCTAGAAATTGTGTTGCTTCTTCAAATCTGACTGGATACTTTTCATAGACCCCTATTTGCTCACATGAAGATATTTTGAAGCCTTATTTTATTCTTCTACTCACATTAAGCTTATTTTATATCACCTGAAAATTCCAATCTCTGATGTTTTATAGGACTGATCTTGCTAATTCTCACTCATGGTCCCTATTTCCTGTGGTTCTGGGGGGGGGTATTTATTTTTAATTTTAGGTTTATTTTCATTGAATTGCTACCTGTAGGAGTTCTTTGAGGGATGCATTGAAATTTCAGTACTCTGCATAGGATTTACATTTGCGTATACCACATTCTTGAAGTTGCTTGAAGATTGCAACCCTTAGGACAACCTGAACGAAATTTTTCATTTGAAGGATTCATGATTGATATGGATTTAGGCCCTACAGCAGTGTAAGGGCTGCTTGTGGCTACAAATTTTCAGGGAGGTTTTTTTCCCCTTTTGTGCATTGCCGTCCCCTTCTTTAAAAAGGGATGTTTCTTATTTTCCCTCACTCAGAGGAGTTTAGTGTTTTAGTCAGAGATCTGCAATTCAAAATCCCCACCTTGGGCAGGCCCTAAACTTTATCTCCTATTTCTGTTCAGAATACAGAACAAAAATCAGGCTTATCAAGATTTAGTTGGTACCTTTGGAGTAAAGTGGATGTAGGAGCTCCCTTACCCTCCAGAATTCCCTTAGGAAATCACTTTGTTTTTGTTCTCAGATTTCTTAATTCCTTGACAGCTTATCAGTACATTTAAAAGGATGTTTTTACATTTTTTCTAGTGTTTTTAGTTTTTGGAAGAGAGAGATTGAGGGTATTTCATTAATCTTATTGTTAGAAATGGAAGTTAGAAATGTGAAGAACAACACGTACATGCAAATATTAACAACATGGCATACATCCACCCTTCCTCTGTGAGGTCTGTAAAACATAAATATTGTAAGTTTTGATATTTATAATTCTCATGAGTAGAACTTGTTTGCTATTTATAATTTGGTTCTTTTTTTATTTGCATTTTATTTCTTCCTGGACTTCTTGGACATAATTCAGCGCCTGGTTTCAGTTGGACTCGATTCAAAGAATGTAGTTTGTGTTTGGGATTGGAAAAGGGGGAAAATGTTATCTATGGCTCCTGGTCACACAGATAGAGTAAGTATTCTTCTTTAGGTTTTTAATGGGGACTGGGTGGGTAGAGGCCAGAGGAGAATCAGGGGATTTTATGTTTCTGTGTTTATTATTGACAAATAGTTCATATGTAATTAAAATTTTTAAGTACAGTTGTAAATACTGATAAAATTTGAGTGCATGTGTATTGTAGTACATAAAAGCATGACTCAATATGTATAGTATCAGCACAAAAATTTTAACGCAGTGTTTGCTTTAGCAAAAACAATGAATTTTAAGTTATTCAAGCCTCAGCTTAGACATTGAGTGGTTCATGCCTGTTGTCTATTTAGTTTAATATGCCACTGATTGGTTATATATATATATCAGAGTTAAGGTTAAAAATGATGTTGTATGTATAAATTTAAATTATGTATTAGTGTTAAATTTTTTAGAGACCTAACATTTTTAACTTTGGAAACTTGTTAAAAACATATTCCATATTCAAAGTTGTTTAAAATTAATATAAAGACTATTTTGAAGTAAGCTTTTTAATTAGATATTATACTACTTTCATAAACATTTTATCATTAACTCTTTAAAGTGTCTGATTTTTGTGTGTCTAGTAAAATCATAACCTGAATCAGCACAGGAGGTATAGCCATTAATTCTATTTGGAGGGAAATCTATGAATCTGTAAAGTTGTATAGAAAATTTTGTGTGTATTTGCATTTTGAAAAATAAAGTTGGTTCTTAGCATATTCTCAAAGGGTCCTATTACACAGTCACACAATTTAGATAATTATTAAATTGTTAGGTATATTTTATTAGTCTATATTCTGAATAACTTACATCAAAACATTGTGCACATGAGTATCTTGTATTTAGTAAATAGACTGATCATTATGAAAAATGACAATGTCATTGAAATTTTTTAAATTTTTTTTTAGGGTAATATTTTTAAATTACATCGATATGCTTTTCATATAATATGTATTATAGTGAGTTGTTAAATATTAATTTATATGATATGTTCTTCATTATCACTGATGAGAATCACTTTGTACATTTTTTAAAATATTTTTTTAATTTTGATATCATTAATGTACAATTACTTGAACAACATTATGTTTACTAGACTCCCCCCATTATCAAGTCCCCTGCACATACCCCATTACAGTCACTGTCCATCAGCGTAATAAGATACTATAGAATCATTATTTGTCTTCTCTGTGCTATACTGCCTTCCCCGTGACTGCCCACCTACATTATGTGTGCTAATTGTAATGCCCCATTTTCCCCCTTATCCCTCCCTTCCCACCCACCCTCTCCAGTCCCTTTGCCCTTAGTAAATGTTAGTCTATTATTGGGTTCTGTGAGTCTGCTGCTGTTTTGTTCCTTCAGTTTTTTCTTTGTTCTTATATTCCAAGTATGAGTGAAATTATTTGGTACTTGTCTTTCTCCACCTGGCTTATTTCACTGAGCATAATACCTTCTAGCTTCATCCATGTTGTTCAAATGGTAGGATTTGTTTTCTTCTTATGGCTGAATAATATTCCATTGTGTATATGTACCACATCTTCTTTATCCATTCATCTACTGATGGACACTTAGGTTGCTTCCATTTCTTGGCTATTGTAAATAGTGCTGCGATAAACATAGGGCTGCATATGTCTTTTTCAAACTGGGCTGCTGCATTCTTAGGGTATCACTTTGTACATTTTTAAGAGATAGTAAACATCATAGGTTATTATGCAGGCAAGTGTCCAAGAAATACAGTGAAGACTGCCAGATAACCGAATTTTTTTTTCTGCCATGAAATTATTTTTCAAATATTAATTTTTCTTTCATTTATTATTAAAGTACATGTTCCTAATGCATATTTTATTTCATCTTGGTTTTTTCTTGTTTGCTTTTGTAACAAAAATGGTTTGTATGTATAGTTGATCCCTGAACAACACAGATTTGAACTGCATGGGTCCACTTATACATGGATTTTTTTCAATAAATATATTAGAAAAATTTTTGCAACAACTTGTAAAAACATTTTCTTTTCTACTTTATTATAAGAATACAGTATATACACATAACATACAAAAATATGTGTTAATGTTTATATTATCAGGGCTTCCAGTCAACAGTAGGCTATTAGTAGTTAAGTTTAGGGAGTCAAAAGGGATACATGGATTTTCGAGGGGGCTGTGCAAGAGCAGCACCCCTAACCCCTTCTTTGTTCGATAGTCAACTGTGTTTAGACTTTATGGAATCTAAAATGTAAGTGTAAGTTAGTTTTGTTTGACCCATAAACAGTAAAGGAAATTGAAAAATAAAAACAGAATTTTTAGAGTGAAAAAAATATTAGTCCTTTTATGTAAGTAATTCTGTATGATAGAAAGCCATAAAAATCTTCTGTGTTTCTAGCTGTATAAGTGTTAAGTGTATGTTCCATTCAGTATCTTCCCTCTGTATAAATTGTGCAGGTACCTGCCTTATGCCTTAGTTCTGTTGAACCATTTTGTTATTTATGGACCAAATTTAAAAAAATTAAATTAAAAATAGAATTGTTAATTTTTACTAGTTTCATAAAGTTCATGCAAACTAAGAAATAGTTTTTGTTCTTGTTTACATGTTTACTTTATTTCTCATAAGATTTGAAGTATAGGAATCTCTTGTTTATTGAGGCATATTGTTTTATGATAGGTAGGATTTTAGGCTATTGGGTGTTTTGGACAGAATTCTTTGAAAATAAGTATTTTAACCATGAATCTGATTTGTTTACAGATATTTGATATTTCTTGGGATTTGTTCCAGCCAAATAAACTTGTCAGCTGTGGTGTAAAACATATCAAGGTACTAGAAGGGTCTTGTTTTATAGTACTTATATTTACTTATTTCCTGCCACTAAATACATACCGCACTATGTACAATTTAGGATAGTTTTAGGATATTGACAGTACTTATTTTTAAAATATCAACATTTTAATGTTCTTATGTTCAATCTAACAAATATTTTGTCATCACTATGTATAAGAGACTGTAAAGGATATAGGTATAAATAGGAAATTAATAAAGCATTTTCCATAAAGAAATTTGTAATCTAGTGAAGTAGACTTTACAGTGTTCATCTTGTTTCTTCATGTTTCACTTACAAAGTAAAATATGAGAATAGGAAACCAAGTAAACTGAGAGGTTTTCATTCAAAAGGATGGGGTGGTAGAAGCAGCATGGTTAGAGCTGGCTTTGCCACATACTGGCTGTTTGACCTGGGATGAGTCATTTCATATTCATATAAAGACCATATTCAGGTTAAAGCCATTTCATTCATATAAAAACCATATTCAGGTTTTTAAAAAATTCATCTCAAACTAAAACTATATTTTCACCTTGAGTTCTATTTCCTTTCCTTTGGTAGAGGCAATGAATAGTAAGGTAGTTCTCTTTGCAGGCAATTCATATGAGGAAACTAAGTCCCAAAGATAATCTAGAACTTCAGTGGCCAGTACAATCACAACTAGCCGCATGTAGCTATTTACATTAATTAAAATTAAATAAAACTTAATTTCATTTCTTCATTCATACCGGCAGTTCCACTTCAGATGCTCGAGAGCCACATGTATCTAATGGTTACTCTGTTGGGCAATGTGTATGTATATTTGTAAAAAATAAAGAGAGAGAGAGGGAGGGAGAGAATATTTTCGTTATCACAGAAAGTTCTATTGGACAGCACTGATTTGGATTATGGAACAATTGTTCTTAACTCTCAGTCAGCATCAAAATCATTGGATACCTGGGCTTCATTCTTAGAGATTCTGTGTCATTTTATGTCAGGGGAGACCCAGGCATACTATGCTTTTTTATAATTTCCCCCAGGTGATTCTAATGTATAGCCAAAGTTGACAACCACTGATCTAGAAGAAAATAATAGAATGAAATTGGGACTTGCTGGAAGGAAGAGAACCAGCTATCCTTATGCACAGAAGGCACTAAACTATTACATTTAAAAATAATAAAATTCTATTGATTAAAGCATTCATAGTCATTTGAATGGATAAGTATCATAATTTTTAGTACTTTGTGGCTTTGGGTTTTAAAGTAAGATCTTTAGGTCTTAAAATGAGATCTTAAAGATTAGGTAAGATCTTTAAGTATATAATATTAACAAATTATATTATTTTTAGTGGTAATTTACTCATAAAGTTGAATTTATTCTCTGGGCCTGGTTTCTTTATGCAGAACTATTTATTATGTATATCCCTGTCCTATTTTTTGTTTCTTTATTTTTCTGTGCACATTATTAAAATTTACCTGACTCCACATAAAAGATCAAAAATCCTGGTCATGAAGATTTGTTTGACTCCCTACCTTCTCCCAAAAATGAATAGATCATTCCAAATGTATATCTCTGTTATTTTTAAGCTTTATAAGTACAGTAAAGGAATTGCTCAGCTTTGAAAATGTCAATAAAAGCAATATACTAATCTTTTTTTTTCCCTATCTTTACTGTCTTCATTAGAGATTGGCCATTAGGTTTGGTCCTTTTTCTTGTTAGTGTATAGCATCTTATCTTCATTTTTATTGGTAACCCTTTCCAAATTTTTTACTTGTCTGAGTTTCATGTAAATTTTTTTTCAGAAACCTAAGGGAACAGCATATTTAAAAAATAATCTAGTTCAATCCGCCTACCCCCTTATTCTTACAGATAAGTATAGAAATGAGTGACTTATCTGCTATACCATAGCTATTGACAACACTAGGGTAAGAATGTGAACATTGAATTCTATTGTGTCATAGGGAATTTCTTAGGTAATTTCTAGTCTACTGCTATAATACAGCATCAAAGTATTAGAAATGTTTTACTTTATTTTGTAATCATTCTTTTGTAATTTGGTTATACTATGTACTTTTTAGTTCTGGAGCTTATGTGGAAATGCTCTGACTCCAAAACGAGGGGTCTTTGGTAAGACTGGTGACCTTCAGACAATACTGTGCCTGGCCTGTGCAAGGGATGAATTAACATATTCTGGTGCACTCAATGGGGATATATATGTTTGGAAAGGAATCAATCTTACCCGAACAATACAAGGAGCCCATACTGTAAGTACATTTAAATGTTTTAAACACTTTTAGATAATGTTAACTACTTTTGCCTTAAAACAAAAGATTACATAGTATAGCAGACTTTCTAATCAATTCAGTTACTTGAAAAATGCTATTTTCTGAATTGTCTGTTTTTAAGATTTCAGTAAAGAAACATGCAATTAGACACATGGATATTTATTGAATTAGTATAATTAACATCTTGTTCAAACCATTGCTTTGGTGTGGTGCCTTTTTCAGAGCAGTGTTGAAAAAAATGCTTCTTAAAGTCAACCTACAAGTATTCTAGATTAACCATATTAGAATAAAGCTAGTGCTCTAGTGACTAATTTACCAGTGGGAAATTTGGGAAGAATTCTAGAAAAATATGTAACTTTAGTTTTAATGTCACTGATTCATTAAATGAGTGGCAAAGGAATGTACTTTTTGTATTTCATGAGATTTTCATATAAGGAGGTCATCAAGCCAGGGAAAAAAAAATCCATTTTTTGTGTTTTTAGATTTGGGTTTTTTAGCAGTTGGGCTAGAGAGCACAGAGATGTCACATTGTTAGCAGTAGAAAAACTGTTAAATACATTAATATGACCCATTATTCATTATATATTACATATCAGCTATATTAGAGAACCACTTACAACAGGACTTGCTTTAAGCAAAATGCCTAAAGACCAGAAATAACAGATTCTTCTCCATAAAGATTGTGGCAATTCACGTTTTCACTGTTAGTATATAGAAATACCAGTTTCCTCCTCATATTCATCGGCACAGAATGTGACCTCTGTTGTAAATTTTCACTTGTCTTCTCAAAAATAGTGACTTTTTGCTTTAGTTTTGTTTCATATGTGTGCAAGTTCATACATTTATCTAGTACTTGAATTTCCTTTCCTATATTTTGGCTATTCTCATCCTTTACTCCTTTTTAAAATTGTTGTTGGATGTTCTTTCTTTATTCGTTTATATATTAGAGATATTAACCTTTTGACAGCTGTACACATTGCATCTATTTCCCCAATCTGTTTGTCTTTGCTTATGATATCTTTTCTCACATGAAAAATTCAAAAATCGCTGTGGGCAACCTGCCATGCTAAAAAGGTCTCTCATAGCCCAAAGTTACATAAGTGTTCTAACTCTTTTCTAACATATTTTTCTTTCTTGCATTTAGAATTTTATGTTTGTCTACAATTCATTTTTATATATGGCATAAAGTTTAATTTTCTTTTATGCTGTGCTCATAATACCTCTGTCATACATTGAGTTCCTATATACATGTAGATTTATTTATAGATTTTCATTCATGTTTTCTGATGTATTTGTTTATTCCTGTATCATATCAAAATCTTTTAAAGTGAGCTTCTATCTTAACATAGATTTTCTTTAAAAACATATTGTTAAATTATTTTGTTTCCTCTTCTAGGCAGGAATTTTTAGCATGAATGCTTGTGAAGAAGGCTTTGCTACTGGTGGCAGAGATGGCTGTATCCGTCTTTGGGATTTAACTTTTAAACCAATTACTGTGATTGATCTCAGGGAAACAGACCAGGGATACAAAGGTAGTAACAACTGTCTCCTACGCAAATTCTAAATGTATCGAGGATTGTCTGTTTCTTTCAGCAAACTTAAGTGTATGTTTTGTAAATAAAAATGAGATTTACATTTGCCCCTTGTACTGTATACATTTAATGTATATGTATTATGGAAGAGGGGAAGTTCTATCTGAAGATAATAGAGGTTTACTGTTAGGATAAGGTTCTCTTATACATCAGTTGCCTATTGTAATGAGACCTACAGAGAGAGATGTGGTAGGTACTTACTTCTGGTGACCTTGGATTTTAGAATATTTTACTATTAGAATGCTAAATGTAACTAGCAAATAAGCTGTTGAAATAAAGTGTGTTGAAGTTTAGGGGAAACTTCTGTTTAGGATGATTTAAACTCATGTAGATGTGTGTTTTCTTCATCCAAAATTTTAGCAGTCAAGAGACATTTTTTCCTTTGGGGATTTTTTTAAGTTGATGTGATGAAACAGAATATTTTACCATAAAAATGAACATATTATTCACTAGTGTGATATTATAAAAGTAGGATTTGGAAGTTATACAGGTCTATGTTTAAGCCATATTTCAGTCATTTACTAGGTGTGTGACCTTGGGCTACATATTTAACTTCATCTGTAAAGTGAGAATAAGAATAACTCATAGAATTAAGTAACCAAATATTTAATATTAGAAGAGTGTCTGCACATAGTAATCATCCAGTAAATGTTAACTGTTACACTATTTTTATTAGTTTTGCTGAGCATTATTGTACTTTAAAATTTATAAAATAATTTGGCACTTTCTCTTATTTGATCCCCAACATTGTGAGGTACACAGCACCTTTATGTTGGCCATATTATATAAGCGAGAGAACTGAAAGAAACACTAGCTTTCCCAAGGTTACAGAAGGGATTGTGGAGTATGAAGAAAAAGTAGAAGTCACTCCTCTTAGTGATTTATGAGCCAACTGAAGAAATTAAATATAGACACATGAAAAGTCAGTTATCATGAGAGAAAAATAATATCATTCCACTTCCTGAATGATTACTTTGTGGATGATTCAGACTGTAAGTGTTATAAGAATTCGGCTGAGGAAGTGATCAGATTATGACTGGAATCGTCTAATAAGAAGTGTGTATGTCTGAAGGAGGGATAGAAATTAGGTATATAAAAAGAGAAATATCATTGCACAGAGAAAACAATATGCATAATTGAAAATGTGGATCAAAGACTTGTAGAGGCCTTTCGCATCTGTGATGTAAAAGTTATAAAAATTAATATCAATTTAGGCAGATCAACATTGTATTATTATAGCTTTGATCTTAAATGCAATTCACTTTTGACTAGGTTTGTCTGTGAGGAGTGTTTGTTGGCGAGGTGACCACATTCTAGTTGGAACACAGGACAGTGAAATTTTCGAAATTGTGGTTCATGAAAGAAATAAACCTTTCCTAATTATGCAAGGGCATTGTGAAGGTGAACTTTGGGCACTTGCCATCCATCCTACTAAACCTTTGGCCGTGACTGGAAGTGATGATCGTTCAGTCAGGTAAGCATATCATAAAGTAATTGCATAGGCTGGATTTTGTCCTTGGGTGAAGATAAGGAAAACTTCCAAAAGCACATAGATTTAACTTTTACCAGCTTATGGTTAACAAGTGAACATACTTAATAGGTACTTAATAAAATTAACAGCTATTTCTAAGATTTGTTTTTTTTTCATAAAAACATAAATTGGAGTTCCAGATCAGAATGCACAGAGCCACCTCCATCTTTATAACAGCCATATAATATTCTACTGCATGGATATGTTGTAATTTATTCAATGAATCTGTTATTAATGTGAGCTTAGGTTCTTCCAGTTTTGTGATATTAAATACAGTGCTTGCAAGGAATATCCTTATACCTATGCCATTTTGTGCATGTGTAAATATGAATATCTCTGATAACTTCTTAGTGTTCAAAGGATATTTGCATTTCAAGTTTTGATAGTTAATGCCTTACACAGAGGCAGTAACAATTTACATACCTGTTTTCCCACACCCTTGCCAGCCCCGAAAGGTGAAAAATGATATCTTGTTATGTTTTGAAAGCATGCATTTCTGTCCTATTTAGGGGAGTTGAGTATGTTTTCATATGTTTAGAGGACATGCGCAGTTCCTTTCTTGTGACCTGTCTCTCCAAGCTTTTTGCCTACTTTCTGTTCGTTCATTGTTCCTTCTAATTATTTTAAAATAGAATCTAAATCTAGTATCTGTCTGCATATTAAAGAAATGGGTCCTTTGTCTATGGCAGTGGTTCTCAAAGTGTGATTCTTGGGCCAACAACATAAGAAATATCAAGGAACTTGTAAGAAGTGCACAGTTTCATGCCTTATTAAGGACTTAATGTCAGAAATTCATCTGTCTGTGGTTTAAGAAGCCTTCCTAGTGGCTTTGATCTTAAGTTTGAGAATTGCTGGTCAGTATTAGTTGAGATGTTTTTGACACTTTGTCATTGTATTTTTTCCCCCATTTAATCTGTAAATATTTCCCTTTGTATCTAAAAGTAACTCTGAACACAATACTGTTAGCACACGGCATTCCTTTGGTCTCAGGCTCCAAATAACATCCATATATCGCATTTGTTGATATGACCTTCAAATTTCTTTTATTCTGTAGCCTACTTACTCATTTTTTTTTCTTAAATTTTTTTCGTTGAAGATGCTAAATGTTTGTTTTCTAGAGTTTTCCACATTCTGAATTTGGCTAACTGAATACTTATAGTGTATTTTTGTGTATTTTAATGTTTCTCTTCCCTGTATCCTGTAAATGGATAGTTATATTTAGAGGTTTGATGAGGTACAATTAGTGAATTTTTCACCAAGAACATTTCCTAGGTGGTAATGTGTGTCCCTGTTTGGTGATATGTAATATATAATCTCTTTTTTTGTCATATTAGCAACCACTGCTAGTTATTATCTACATCTGTGTTTCTCAACCTTTTAAAAAACCTGTTGCTTTCCCAATGAGTAGTCTTAGACATTTATACCACCCTCCCATGAAATTTTACCACAAAAAAGCTGAATGTTTTTGTAATGTGGGCCTTCAGAGAGCCACAAACCATTGTAATAATTAAAGTTTTCATCCCCAAGAGCTAATTTTTAGCCCAATATGTGGTCTCCTATTGAGAATACATGACCTAGATCTGTTTTTTATTAAGAGTTTCAAGTGGTAATATTCTAACTTTATCATTCATTATTCATTTTTTAGCTACCATATTCCTATAACAAGAATTTTTTTCATCAAATATTTGGTTATCCTGGATACAGTTTGTACAGGAAAAACAGAAAAGTGCTTAATTCTTTCCCATTTACTAGTTTAAAAAACTATTAGTTGGTTCCCTACAATCCTTTCTATGATCTATTCCCATGCCTTGACACTTTTTTCTGCAGGGTGGTAGATCTTTTTCTCCTTTGTTTTTAACAGCTTTCTATATCTTATGGCTATTTAACCCTGTGTGATATAAGTTGCAAATAATTTTCACCAATTTTTTACTTTTTTTTTCTTTTGCTTAGATGGCTTATTGCCATGGAAATATTTTTTGTTATTTTGTTTTGTGTAGCTGAATTTATCAATATTTTCTTTTATGACTTCTGAGTTATATCAGAGAAAAATCATCCCCAGAGTTAAAAAGTTTTTTAATATATTATTCTAGAACATAAGTTTTGTTTTATGTTTAACTACTAATCTGTGTAAAGTTTAGTATAAGAAGTGAGGTGATTCTTACACTAAAGGCTTTTTTAAAAATAATTTAAAAAACGTAATATGAACAATTACAACCAAATTCTTTCCAGATAACTACTCATTTTTTTAATGTTAATCAGTTAGGCCATCTATTGTCATTGTGTTACTTGGTTTTTTGGGGTGAGAGATGCCATAGCTCTCTGTCCACATAGAAAGTTGCTGTGGGGCCTCACTCTATCTATGTGCTTTACTAGGAACTGTTTTATAGTTCCTTTCCTATTCGTAGAGCTGCTGTTACCAGCTGCTATATAGCTGGTGAAAAAGGGCAGTTGTCCTTTGAAAAGTAATTGCTTAGACTTCTGTTTCAGTTATTGGTAGGCAAGTTATTGGGAAAGTAATCTTCCATAACAAAAATGCTAGTTGAAATGTAAGTCACTTTAAAAATGTCCAGTGAAGAGTCAAGATAGTAAGGAACTGTTAGCCATATTTGAAAGAAAACGTCAATTGAGGAGCACCAGTGGGCCGAAGCTACTTTTCTCCTGAGGTCATTTTTTTTCCATTGAATAAACTTGGGCTTTGTTCATGGCTTTCTCTTGGGGCACAGGGGCAATAGGCAAGACCCAGGGCCCTCTCAAAGGACATGTGTCCAACATACCCTGCTGGAACTATAGATGAGGCTCTGAAAAAATAGCCCCTGCAAATTTCTGTGGGAATGGAGATCTTGTTTCAAGTTCTGATAGCATAGGTAGTGTATAAAGCATCTTGATGTTATTCAAACAGCATTAATTGTTGTCCAAGTAAATTTACCATAGTGTAAGTTTCACATATGTTTCACATATGCAAGTGCTGTTTTTGCCTTATAATTTTACCTTATAATTCATTAAGAAACACTACCAAATCTGTAACAAAAGCTAATTTCCAAAGCTGTACAGTGTTTTCTTTTTAATTGAAGTATCATTGATATACAATCTTATATTGGTTTCAAATATACGACACAGTGTTTAATAACAGCAGTTGAGAGCAGTTCTGTTTCAGAAAAATTTCAGTCTTGGCTCTGTGATCAAAATATAATAAAAATTTACCACTGTGAAGTCATTAAATTGCTGCGTGATAGGGTAAGTCAAGATTTTTAGCTTCTGCTCTTCACGAGAATTCAGAACTGACAATGGTTAAATCCACAAGCTCAAATGAAGTTCACCATTAACACTATTGTTTCAAAAATACATGAGTAAATTTCTTTTTTGCAGAATACTTGCTCAAGAATAATACAGTCAATAATCATAAGCTTTAGGCATCTTATATTTTTACAGGCTTTGTAAACTTGTCTAAGCCATTTTTTTCATGTGTTTTTTTTACTGCCATTTGATTCTACTTTAAATTTAATTGGATTAGTGCTTTCTCACTGTCTGGAAATACTCTAGCCTGTAGTTTTTCCACACAGACTATTCATAGAAGCTGTTTCTTCACTTCATACTTGGCATGAACTTCTCAAATAAACAACAACTGATTAGTATCAGTAACATCTGTTGACTCATCAAGATTTAAGAAAAAACACTCAAAATTATTTGCCTTGTTTTTTCATTAACTGTTGGTAGTGTTCCCAGAACCCTCAACATTTGAAACAACTTAGGTTCTAGTCAAAAGGCTGATAGTACTAAATTAATTTTCTTGGGCTACATTTTTTCAGCTGCTGCAATCCAAATTGATTTAGTTAATCTGTTACCAGTAAACAGCTTTCCTTGCTTGGCTAACAAATGAGCCACTAACAAACTTACTTTTGTTGAAACCTCATGTTAACTTTAAAATTTATAAGAAATTCTGTGATGAGATAGATGATTTAAATTTTCTATTTTTTCTGACCATTGCTTTCCTGTGAGTGGAAGATACTATGATGAGTGCTGAGTTTGGTAATATTAACATATTTGTGTCATAGGGCAAGTCAATGCTTTTAGGATAACTATAGTGTTGCTGTATAATAAACACAATGCTTTACCATCTGATTCAATAACAGTATAATCCATGATTTACTATGCCTTAAAAACACATTTGAAGCTCATTTTTCTTGTTTTGACATGAGTATGTACTGGAAGTAAAAAATAATAAAATGTCACTGTATGATTATGCACATAGCACTTGAAAATCTGTCAAGTTATAACGGTCTCGTTGCAACTTGTAGTGTGCCAAAGGAGCAGTGCCAAGTGATCTGCATGGCACATACCATTTACCATCTCTTTTTGCAGTAACTCAGTTCTACCTCTAGAGTATGAAAGAGGAGATAGACAATATGTAAACAAGCAAGTGTAACTATGTTCCCATAAAAATTGATTTACAGATAGATACTGAAATTTGAATTTCATACAATTTCCTCATGTCTCAAAATGTTATTCCTGTAATTTATTTTCCATTTAAAAATGTAAAAACCATTCTTAGCTTGCAGACTGTACAGTTGGGCCCACAGGCTATGGTTTGCTGACCACTGCGGTGTACAACACAGAAACTCTTCAATAAATATTGTATTTAACTTTTGAAACACTGTAAGTTTTCCTCTGAAATCAGAAGACAGTGATGCCCACTTTTACCATTTTATTTTTCACCATCATATTCAACTATAGACTAAAAGTCTTTGTCAGCACAATAAGGCCAAATATTTTTATATATGTGATATAAGTATTTTATACAGATACACATATAAATATTTGGATTAGAAAGGAAGAAACAACTGTCATGTGCATGTTTTATGATTGTATATGTAGAAAATTGAAAGGAATATACAAAGAAATTATTGGAATTAAAAGGAATTTCCTGGATATAAAAACAATATACAAAATCATACTTCCTATAAAGTAGCAACAAGTAGGTTTTTTCTAAAGATGCTGCTATAAAAACATTTAAAAATCTACTTGCTGATCTGTCCTAACCACTTAGATATATGTTCACTAACTTATAGTCTTTATTTTTATATCTTCATTTAAAATTTCCCCTAAGTACTATTTCAGCTATAGCCCACAAGTTTTGATATGAAACAGTTTTGTTCTAACTTATTTCAAAATATTAACTAATTTTCATGAGGATTTTGTCTTTGTCTTTTAGGTATTTGGAAGTATAAGTCTTAATTTTAAACAATGGGTATTTTCTACTTGTCCTTTGTTGTGATTCCTAACATTAGAGTCTGGAACAGACTGAATTTGCATAGTCTTAAGTGTTATCCTTATATTCATCTACTTCCTTTGATTCTCACCATTGTATTCTTACATAGGCTTTTGCCATCTCCTAATTGGATTGGTAGACTAGCATCTCAGCTATATATATATGTACACACACACACATACACACATCTCCCCTTTAATCAAGGTAGAAAACATCTACCTAAAATGAATAATTGGAAAAAAATTAATGATATTACAGTATTTTAAAAATGAAAGATTCTATTAACACTTGTCATTTTAAGCATGACCAGTATCTTTATTTTCATAGATAAGAATTCCATGCCACAAAGTATACAGTTAAAAATCCAGATCTGTCTGGCTTATTTAAAATAAGATTATTTTAACCAAAATCTTTCCACAGAGTCTGTCATTTTTAAGTATATATTAGTTAACTATTCCTTTATTTTGATTAAATGATACAGGATGTGGAGTCTAGTAGATCATGCGCTAATAGCAAGGTGTAATATGGGAGAACCAATCCGCTGTGCAGCTGTAAATGTAGATGGAACCCATCTTGCCCTTGGGATGAAGGACGGCTCATTCACTGTACTTCGAGTAAGGTATGGCATTTGGTTAGTAGAAACACAGTTAATTTCTATAAGTGAGATAGAACATGCAATAGTCATTGTTTTTGCTCATTTCCTTTTCCCTCTCTCTTCTTATTAATATACATTTGCAGATATTATTTTCATTAAATATAAACAATATGTTTATAAAAATAGCTTTGTCAGGAAATCAGGTTAACTCAAAAATTGGTTTTGGGGGTTAAGAATGCTTAGCAAATTAATGAGTAAAATTCCATAAATTTGGGTCCTGACTTCCATTCCTTAGTAGTATTGATTTTTAGTAATAATCCTCTTCAAGTCAAGGTTGGGGTGGGCGTTGGGGGAGTGCTGAGGCTGTTAAAAATGGGTATTTTTTGTTGTTGTTATTTGTACCTATATGCTTTGAAAAAAAATGCCTGCATTTCTTCCTTTGGGTAATTAGATAAGTTTAAAGAATTTGTTAAAATAGTTAACATTTTGAGTTGAATTATAGGCATGGTGAATTCAATTGAATTCTATACAGCCATTTAAAAACTTGCTATAGACCCATACGTGTTCACAAGGATATGTGTTTATGAATCTTTCTTCTCTAGCTTAGTGAATGGTAGGGCCATCCACCCAACTGCCCAATCCACACACCATTCATTCATTTCACTTTTGCCTCCCTTGTCTAGTTAATTACAGAGATCTGGAGAATCTACTTCCTATATAGCTCTCAACTTAATCTGCTTCCTTCTTCAAGATTGTACTCATACGTCGGCTTCTGCGTCTCCTAACTGGATCTGTGGAATAGCATCTCTGCTGGTCTCCTTACCTCCTAATTTGCTTCCTTACAGAACTTTTTTCACTTGTTACAGTGATGCCTTTTAAAGTACATTTTTGCATCCCTCCTCTTTCTAAAGATTGATTAAAGCTTTGCACTGTCTATAGGATGAAGTTCATAATCTTTAACCTACCTGTAGTGCCCATCTCTCCAGCCTATTTCTGTCTACCTCAGTCTCTTTCTTTGAACTATAAAGTATATAAACATCTTACAGGTACATCATGTTCTGTTGTACTTCTGAGTTTCTATAGATGCTGACTTCTCTTTCTGGGATGGTTATTTACAATGAGATATGCTGAGATTATTCTCTTATATTTTTTATTGTGATAAAATGTAATATTTTCCATTTTAAGTATAAAATTTAGTGGCATTAAATATATTTGTTGTTTTGCAACCAAGAATTTAAGATGCATGTAGAAACCTAAGAGGTCCTATCATATAGCTAATATGTATTAAAAATAGTGATTTAAAAAATTTTGTACACTTACTTGCCTTTTCAATTATTACATGCCAGAAACTAGATGAATAAACTATTGCTTTAAATTGTCCACTTAGAAATTTTAAAAATTGGAAAATATCCATCTGAACTTCCATTTTTGAAATTATCTGCTTGGAGCAGTTCAGATAGGAAATACAAAATTTATATGGAAATAAGTCCGTGTCACTAATTAGAAAGAGGAATTCTTACTTCCTTCTGCCCCTTCTCCCTCACTGCCTCCCTTTTCTCCCCATCCTCACCAGACCCACAACTTTGGAAGCTCAATGGTGTTAAACTAAGTGTTTATCCATTTTTATGACTTACCATTATCTGTATTATTTTGGAAACTCAGTTATAAGGCTTCATTGAAAAAAATGTATTATTGAAATAATACAGATCAATTCCTATATTCTTTATTTCTTGAATGTAATTTTGCATATTTGGCTCATTATAAAAATTTATTTGAAAATTATGGTGGGTAAAATTAAGGATTTTTATAAACTCAGTATTTTCAAGGAGCTTCATAAAAAACCTGTGACTTCATTTCCCTTACTGATGACTCCAAAACTTTAGTGTGAATCTCTAAACTACTTTAAATAATTGAGGAACTTAAATTCAGCTTTTTTCTCTACTTCCAGCATGTATTGTTCTTACATATTTCTGTTCAACAAAATGATTGTTACTGAATTAATACTACTTGTCTCATTTACTTTTTTTTTAAGGTTTACAAATACTTGATACAAGCTCACAGTCATTTTAGACAGATTTGAAAACTGAACTAATTCTGTAGTGACTTTTTTCATATGGTCTCATTTTTTTTTCTTTACAGAGATATGACAGAAGTTATACGTATTAAAGATAAGAAGGAGGCAGTTCATGAGTTAAAATATTCACCAGATGGAACTTATCTTGCAGTTGGATGCAATGACAGCTCAGTTGATATATATGGAGTTGCTCAGCGTTATAAAAAGTTTGGGGAATGTGTTGGATCACTTAGTTTCATTACTCATCTCGACTGGTCCTCAGACAGTAGATATTTACAGACAAATGATGGAAATGGTAAAAGACATTTTTACAGGATGCCAGGTAAAAATTGCTAGTAGATTACATATAATTTATATATTTTTAGTGCCTATAAAATATTTCAAGATTTCACTAGAAGCAGAGTATGGGTTACATTTGACTATAGAAAATCAGAGAAGATCTGAGCTAATATTTGGGGCATTATGCTCTTTTCTATAAGACTGCACTATTATGTTGAAATCCTTTTGGTTCTTAGTTAAATAAAACTTTTTTGCTTGGAGGACCTAAGACAGATCTACTTTATGTTGAATTCCTGGGACTAGTATATGGTTAAGTCTTAATGTATATTAGAAAGTCAGATGCCATTTTTATGGCTGGAACTAATTAAATATAATTGCTACAAATGTCTGACCACAAATTGGGATTTTTTTGTGGTTACCTCAAATAAACTTTGTAAATATTAATAGTATACCTAATAAACTACACTTGAAAAAGTTTCTGTTAAAGATTTAAAAAAGAAGCAATCATCAAAATTTACTCTCAGTACTTTATTTAATTTAATGTTTAATGAATTAGTTACTATTTTCCAATAATTTATTTAATAAAATTAGCTGCATAATTAAATTAATTCATCTCCCCAAAAGCTTTTCATTAACAATCTGCATGTAGTGAAGATTGACCAAATCCTAAAGTCCTCTTACTAATATAAATATATTTCTCTCCATTCATCCTTCTCGCTTGGTCCTGTCACTTGTCTCTTTTTCTCATCTAAGTATCATTCTTAGGTTTCTTAAAACCTGATTTGTCACTTTCTTATAGATTTTACTTTTTCTTCTACTTATACAACTTACCCTGTTTTGACTAATCTGTTGCATCATATTAATAGGGTTTATTCTCCACGTGGGTGAACCTGCTAAGCTACATCAAAATCAAATCTGTGTGTGTCTTTGAATTGATATAATTTTGGTAATGGCTTCTTTAAAAAGTTCCTTTAATTTAATTGTCTCCTCCTTTTATGTTCATCTACCGATCATGTATTTTCCTTTAACTGGAGTGGGAAGATATTTAAATTTTGGAGTTTACTTGTTATCAGTAAAATTTGTGCTTGCATTAAAATCAGATGAAATAACTTCTTAAATTATTTATTTTTAGGAGGAAAAGAAGTGACAAATAAGGAAGAAATAAAAGGTGTTCATTGGGCTTCATGGACATGTGTTTCAGGCCTTGAAGTAAATGGAATTTGGCCCAAGTATTCAGATATCAATGATATAAATTCAGTAGATGGAAACTATATTGCCCAAGTTTTAGTTACAGCTGATGACTATGGAATTGTAAAATTATTCCGGTATCCCTGTTTGAGAAAAGGTATCTTTTCTTTCAAAGTATTATTAAGTAACTTCTCTTTTATAAAACTTTAAGTTCTTGCAGAAAATTAGTTGAGATAAATTAAAGGGCTCATATTTTTTTAAGGTATGTGTACTGATTATTTGCTGAAGAGTTTCATAAAAATGAACAGAATTAGCTATATTTTGTTTTCTAATTCAGAAATTATTTTATATTTATTTTGGACATGAAATTTTTATTGGAAAATTATTTTTGAATTCATCTGTTGTGAATGGACTAATACTTTATTTCTTTCTTTTTAAAGAATCACTTTTCTCCACTCTTCAGAATTGCTTCAGCTAGTCAGACTATACAATGATAGTTATCCTTTTCTTATGACTTATTATCTTTAATCATTTAGCTTGTTGAACATGTGTCTTTTAAGACACATTTTTCTTATGCCTTTTTTTTAAGAATTCTGAAGTAGACAGTTGTACAAGTTCAGGTCACAGCTTGGAACTTACTGGCTGATTGGTTTGTTTTCACATGTGAGTGTGTGAATCCTTAACATCCATTGTTTTAACATTTTTTTTTCTTAACAGTGGGGTGTTAAGAGAAATAAGAGATTTTATCATTGGTTATTTTCTACACATTTTATGTATCACCTCTTTCTTGGATCTCTTCTAAAATGATTGTATTAATCTGTTCATAGACCTGGGGATAATTAAATGAAATGCTGTATTAGTCACATATTTATTCCATTCCTTGTTCTATGAAGTATTTGAGTCAGCTATAACAAGGTTATAAGTACTAAATTTTATGAATAGAGAATTAGTACCAGAGGAAATAGAAATACAACATTAAAATCAGATAAAATGACAGTAGTCAAACATCAAAACTGAATCTGAGCTTCCTGGAAACCAAAAATACAGCAGGTCACAAAACAGTTTTCATTGTAGCTATTATTTTAAAAAAGCATATTTACTACTCTGGGAAAGCAAAGTTTTTCTGAGATTTTATTTTCAAAGAACTTTCTTCTGCAGTATGGGGCTTTATTACAGGTGCGGTGAGTGTGTCCCTGGAGCATCACCATCTGTAGCAGATGCAGTAATGATGTGCACCTGGTTGTTATAAAAGCTGTAGGGCCAGTGTTAAAATGCAGTTTAGTAAAAGATGATTATGGGAACAGCTGAAATAGTTTTATTCAAGTATGCAGTCCATTGAAGTCAAACTTCAGAGTCCAGTTTTTCCAGAAGCCTAGGCTGGTATTTCTGTTGTGCCTCTACAGTAAATTAGTGAGTTGTAGATCCTGCAAGCTATGCCATGCTCTCCATTCCTGCCTGTGAGGTGTCAGCTTCCTAGGTGTAAGTGAAAATGCATCCATAAGTAATGCTAAGTGTGTTAATAAGGCTGCCTAAATCTCTAGCAATCAAAGTACAGTTTTTAAATCCCACCACATAGCTAGGACATGAGAGTCACCAGGCATGACGAATTATTGTGACTCAAAATGATACTTTCCTAGTTAGGAGGTGTGAGATTCAGTTAAGACTAATCATGATGATCTTAATCAGAGATTGCTTCTTCCCACTGTCCTCTGTGTAAAAACAAAAATACTTTATAATATTCTAAACTTTCTTAGTCAAGAGAATGGAATTTATTGATGATTTTTATATTTTGCACCAAGAAAGACAGTATTTTTATTTTTAAGAAAAATTAATCTTGTTCAGTCACTGCTGTAAGAATATGTCTCAATTGTTTTTCTTTTTTTTTTCTTTTTAGAAATTTATAGTAAAGGTTTTTATTTCTAGACACTTGAGAGTCAACTTGAGATTATGGGTGGGTAGTTGGGAGAGCAGAAGATAGGATGTAACTACTGCATATTTAAAGGATTGGTAGAAGTATTTTAAGATTCTGTGTTTATTGAATTCACATTGTACAAAGTTATTATTAGAAAAGTTCTCTTAGTTATAAAGTTGTACATTATTTCATACATTAAGTTGTACTGTTGATCTAACAAGTTTGGGAAGATTGTATCTGATGGATTAATATATTTTAGATATCCACTTAGGTAATATCCATTGCATTCTAAGAAGTGTAGCTTTTACAAAATATGGAAATAAGTTAAATAATAGAAGTAGTTTATGTTATAGAATCATTGTAATTAAGACACAAAATATATAAGCTTAGAAAGAATGATCCTCTTCCATATTAAGCCTCCTTGAATCCCAGCCCAAAGCATTACTCCTCTTTTTATTCCCCCCATTATTATCCTCTTTCTAGATTCTCCTGCTCTTGACCATAATCTCTCTCAAATAATCAGTCTTCCCAGGCAGAAGCACAGGGGCTGTGGCAGAGGGTGAGGGGTAGAGGGGGGAGGATGGAGAGGTGAGGGCAGTATTACTTTTAATACTTTCATCCCTGTTAATAATTGTACTTATTAACTCACTGTACTTATTAACAAAAATTTACATGTGGTGAAAATATTTCTTTAGATTCTAGAAGAAAATTCATTGGAAAAAAAACAAATATCAAACAATAAAACAAATTTATATTAGGGACTTACTTAGCACTTTTTTCTAAGATTCATCCATGCTGTTGCATGTAGCTCTAGTGTATTTGTTATTCATGAATGTAAAATACTCTATTGTGATAAGTTATAATTCATGCATTTATTCTCCTAATGGTGGTCAATTGGGTCAGTTCCAGTCTATTGCTATTATATGCAAGTTTCTCAAAGATGTACACTCAGGAGTGAAATTGCTGGGTTTTAGGGAATTTATAAGAAAATGTCAAATTGTTTTCCAAAGTGGTCATACCATAACATCCCCTATATCAAAAACACATCATCTGAATCTTATCATGAGAAGAAACACCAGACACATCCACACTGAAGGACATTATTATAAAATATATAGATTTAAAAAATTATTGTAAAGGACAGTTGTTGGGACAACTGGCATATTTTATTTTGATTTATAAAGTGTATTACATTGATTTTTGTATGTTGAACCAACCTTGCATTTCCTGGCATAAATCCCATTTGGGCATGTTGTGTGATTCTTTTTATATGTTGATGTATTAGGTTAGCTAATATTGATGACTTATGTTTTAAAAGGATCCTCTGGCTCAGAATAGTACGATTAATGTAAACTGGTTGAATTTCAGTTAAGACCAAAGGCCTCAGGCCAAAACATTCAAATATCTTAATATGAAAACAGTTGATCTCCTTGTGGCTGTAGGTTTTTCTCAAAGCAGTAAAATAATGCCTCACAGCCCTTATAGTTCCTATCAAATTATACTGTGAAACAGTAGAGCAAAGATTTGAACCCCTTGATGTAGACTCATTTCTTCATTTAACAAATTTTTGAGTTAACATTTTTCCCTTCTGATCATAATTAAGTTAGTGGAATGAGGCTAAATTGATTCAGCTATAGAAATTGTTTGAAGTGGTATTTTTGTGTATTGGCATTTGTTTGTCAATTTAAAGGTGTGTTTTTGTTATAGGGGCCAAGTTTAAAAAATATATTGGCCATTCGGCTCATGTAACTAATGTCAGATGGTCTCATGATTATCAGTGGGTTATTTCTATTGGTGGAGCCGATCACTCTGTCTTTCAGTGGAAATTTATTCCTGAAAGAAAACTAAAAGATGCTCTTCACATAGCACCACAAGGTGAGTCATACATATTGTCTAAACAATTTCTCTGTTAAATAACTCTTCAGTAACCCCAAAATAACAATTTAACTATTGAAGTGTAATCTAGCCTCATAAGTTAACAATGTAGTTCAGTAAAGGGAAAATTTTTAATTAAAATATTAGGTCTATATGTTTAACATCGGATGTCATAGAGCATGGCATACAATGTACTTTTGCATTTTAATCCATCAAATACTGAGTGAAGAAGCAGTTACATTAGCAAAACAAACATTTAACATATTCTTTGGGAGACAGGTATCTATAAGGTTTTATGTATAATTTTTTTTATAAAGAAAAATTATGTCAATTCATCTGTTAGATATTTTCTAGCTGTTCTGCATGTTAATTATAGGTTATATTCACTTATATTTGCACAGACATTTAAATTTGATGTAGCTGTCATTGGGGAGCCAGTGAAGGGATTTAAAGGAGCTGTTGAGTTTGCAGTGAGTGGAGAGGAAGATAATCTGTAGTACAGTTTACTGACATCTGTGTCACTTGAATAGGTAATTTCATTTGATTGTTTTATGGCTTGTCTCTATGTCAGTTGGCACAGTCAGCTCTTAATCATTAATTTTACAATGCTGTTTTGAAAATAAATATTTTTTAAACAAGTAATGTGTCATTTTAAAAAATTACAGAAAGTCTGGCTGACTCTAATAGTGATGATTCAGATTCAGATCTATCTGATGTTCCAGAACTAGATTCTGAAATTGAGCAAGAGACACAACTCACCTACCGTCGGCAGGTAATTTTTATTATCACTTGATTTTTCCCTGAAAAAGTCTAGTTTCTTCTTTATCTTGCTCCCTATTGTTGGCTCATCTGTTGTTATCTGTTGTGGTTTTTAATTTCCAAGGAATGTGTAGGTTTTTCGGTTTTCCTCCTATAAGAGTTAAAGTACACTTATGTAAAATGTCCTTTCACAGTAAGTGCTTGATATACTAAGTGTGCCTGTATTATATTTACCTATAGTTTTTTGTCACAGTACACTACCATTTATTCCCTTTTAAATATTCTCTTAGGAAGTATAAAATTGTCATGAAGGACTAAGTATGTATTTGTTGCTGTGATACATAGAAGTGTAAATTAGTTTGTTCTTTTCAAGGAAGTAAATTTCATAAAGTACCTTCCCATTTAAGACAATTAAAATTTTAATGATCAATAGTAACCACAGTATCTGAAGGTTACATTAGGAATCTACGGACCCCTTTATTGATATATATTCTAAGAATATTTCTACTTATGTACATTATTTAAAGGTTTACAAAGAAGATCTACCTCAGCTTAAAGAACAGTACAAAGAAAAACAAAAAAGTGGTACTTCTAAAAGAAGAGAGCGGGCTCCAGGAAATAGTATTCGATTACACTTTGTTCACGGGTATAAAACAACTATTTTTCATTTATGTGCTTGAATTTTGGTTCACATTTACTAGCTGTGTGACTTTGGGCAAGTCACTTAACCTCTCTGTTCCTCTATTTCCCCATCTGTAAAATGGAGATAACAGTACTTCGTTTATAAGTTCTGATTAGGAGTAAATGAGTCAGTACTTCTGGTAGCTTAGAATGTTGTGTGGCACATAATAATCACTATGTAAGTGTTTATTAAGTTAATTGTCTTTGAAAGTTTAGTATTTATAGAAATGGATCTTTTGTCTTTGAACAAATGAAAATAAGTAAAATGAAAGAGATTATCATCTCTAAGTATGTCTAATTTGGAATGATACTGTGGCTTCTCTTGGCCTGAGCATTTTGGCCTTTATGTTTTAATTTCAATAAAATACAGTTTCTGGATTTTCCTAGAACATCTAGCTATTCAGGTCTCACATTTCATCCTGGAACAACAGATTCTCCAACCTAACTCTTCCCTTCCCCTCACCCAGTAAACATTTTCTTACCTGGTGTTTTAGGAATTTGAAAAAGGATTTATTTAATAACAGTATTTTTCCTCTAGTGTTAAAATTGGCAGTTTTTCTGTGTGGTTATGCTTTATGAATTGGGCTTCTTTGAAGCATACAGAAAGGTTGCTGTCAATGGAATTATATTGACCACTTAAGAAGATTTGCCTACTTTTTTCTGGGTGTGTGTAATATTTTTAAATTGTTAAATTTATTTTTAGAATATATATTCTCTTGGTTCAGTAATGTATATGAAAAGGTACACTTTGAAATCTTTCCACCTCTGCTTTTTCAGCCATTATTTCTCTCCTTCAAGGGTAATCATTGTTACCCTTGTTACTGAAGTATTTATGCATATACAAACAAATACAAATACATATTCTTTCCTATACTTTTCATTTGTAAAACAACCATTTTTGTTTTATAATATGCAAATGTGTTATCCTTATGCAAACACCAGTGTGTTATATACAGTTTTTTCTGCACCTTGCTTTATTTTGACTCATTGTTGTAGCCTGGAGTTAGCGATTGTAATCAGAGCAGTTCATAAGAGTTAATGGAATCTGAGATACTTGTATTTTGTTTTAATTGTTCACTATCTTGTAATACTAGAAAGTGAATGACCTAAAAGGTACCTACTTCTCTGTATAGTCCATAATTATCAGATAAAAGACTAAGGTTAATTTATATGATATGATTTCTATATTTAGTTACAGAGGTTATGACTGTCGAAGTAATCTGTTTTATACTCAAATTGGTGAAATTGTGTACCATGTGGCAGCAGTGGGTGTCATTTATAATCGGCAGCAGAACACACAGCGCTTCTACCTGGGTCATGACGATGATATTCTCTGCCTGGCTATTCATCCTGTGAGAGACTATGTGGCAACAGGCCAGGTAGGTCCTTTAAAAGACTATGTGACAACAGGCCAGATAAGTTAGACCTTTGTTTGGGTTTAAAGTTAGGTTAGTCTACTTTTTCTTAATCTATCTTTTATATTCTAGGAAATAAGGAATAAAGAATTCTTTAGAATGGGATTTTATCTTCATGTTACAAATAAAATTTACTCCAACTTTCTTCCTAATTTCCCTTAGAGTTCTGTTATTATAATTATTATTTGAATTTGAATTTGGAGCTAAGAGCTCTGGCTTTTCTCCTTTCTGTCTGGGTAATATTATTTTTTTTAAGTATCTGGGTAAACATTATAGAAAACAAAGACTAGTAATCTGGTTTCTTAAGTAGAGTTATCTAAAATTATATAAACTTATCTAACAAATATTCTTTGACAAAAAGGATGACTGTGTTTTTATTTTACAACCAGGATAATACCAAAAGGTTTACCAAAGTGCAATGTAGAAATACTAAAATAGAAAACACTGAGAAAGTCATAACTGATACCTCTCTATTTGGATATTAGGCAGAAAAGGAGTGATATTTATATATTTTTCTTACTATAGGCAGTCACTTTACTAGTTTCTTGTATATTTATTTTCTAACCTCACCTCTGTGAGAGTGAAAACAGCCACCCCATATTAAAATAAGGAAGTTTTTGTTTAAATAAATTACATAATTTTTTCAAATATCTTGTAGCTAATGCACAGCAAAGGCTAAAACCCTTCATCTGTCTGGCTTTAAACACTGTGTAAATATACCTGCTAGGATATATTGAGTGTGGGGGGTGGACAATTTGCATCATCCTGTATAGCCTCCCTGAAAGGAAAGAAAACTCTTCCCTTTTCTTTCTCCCTTCCTCCTCCTCCACTAGTGCTGCCCCTTCCTTGCTCTTTCTCTCTGTTACTCCTTCCCTTTCCTTCCCTCCCACCTTCTGCCTCTTTTATTTCATTCAAAAACATTCATAGAGCAGGTGCTATATTTGCCAGGAAATGTACTATGAATATAATGATAAATACGACATCTTCTTGGCCATGGTAAACACTCATATTCTGAGGGGGAAGACAGACATGTAACAAGGTCGTAACTGTAGATCAAGACTTCTTAACCTTGGCACCATTGACATTTTGGGCCAGAGAACTCTTGGCTGTGAGGATGAGTGCATTGCTGCATGTAATGAAGGCACATGCATTGTATGTTGCTCAGCAGCATCTCTGGCATCTGCCAACTAAAGGCCAGTAACACTATTCACAAGTTGTGACAACCAAAAATGTCTCCAGTGTCAATTGTTGCCTGGGAGGTAAAAATTACTGCCTTATGAGAACATCTAGTGTAAAGAGATGTACCAAGTCCTTTGCAGTACAATGAAGGAAGTGATTGGTTGTACCTAATAGAATCGGGCAAACCCTCATAGAGATGATGGCATTTGAGTTGAGTAGTTTAACTGATATCGGGAAAGTTAGGGAAAGTGTCCTAAGTGTGTTAGACCATGTGTAAAAGTGAGGCCAGCTGTGCCCCTTCCCCGCCCCACTTGCCCTTCTGATCTTACAGTTGTTGGCAGCCTCCACAGGCCCAGAGCAGGCCTACAGCAAGGAGTCCAAAGCTACCCACCTGGAAGACCTTCCACCTCTGCCTGAGTATGAATTGGTTCCGTCCAAGTTAGGAGAGGAAATGGATGATGTTTACATCATTCGAGTTCAAAGATTCCCATGGTCATGCACTGTAGGAGATGTGCTCAACTTTTTCTTAGACTGCAGAATCAACAATGGCGAGAATGGAATATACTGCCTCTTAGAGATGGGAAGCAAAGGGGTGATGCCTTATTGAAATGGAATCAGAGCAGGCTGTGCAAAAAGCCTCAGAAAGGCATGGCATGTACACAGGGCAGCGGTATGTGGAAGTATATGAGATAATGAAGATGTGGATGCCTTAGTGAAGAGCCTGCAGATCAAATCTTCACCTGTGATAAATGATGGTGTGGTTCCTTTGAGAGGACTTCCTTATGGCTGCAATGAGGAAGACATCATCGACTTCTCTGCAGGACTGAATATAATAGGCATTACTTTTGTCATGGACTACAGAGGGAGAAGAACATGAGAAGTCTGTGTGCAGTTTGAAGAGCCAGAAATGGTCAACCAAGCCCTACTGAAGCACAGGAAAGAAATTGGCAACTGACATACAGAGATATTTCCAACCAGAAGGAATGAAGTTCAAACACAGATGGGCATTCATAAGGGAAAGAGAACGTCTTCTCCTACTGCTAAGTATGTAACTGGGCCAGAAATGGTCTTTGAAGAACATGAAGTAAATGAGGCTGTTTGACCCATGACAGCTTTTGGAAGTGAGAAAGAAATAGAATTGCCTAAGGAGGTGTCAGAAAAGCTTCCAGAGGCTGTTGATTTTGGAAATACATCTTCACTATATTTCGTCTGCATGAGAGGATTACCCTTTTAAGCCAATGCCCAAGACATTATAAACTTTTTGCTCCACTGAAGCCTGTTAGAATCACCATGAAGTACATTCCAGTGGGAAGGCCACTGGAGAAGCTGATGTGCACTTCAGTACCCACAAAGATGCTGTTGTAGCTATTCTCAAAGATCAGTCCCATGATGATCAGTTCATCATAGGTATATTGAATTGTTCCAGAATTCATGTCCAAAAGGGAAAGTAAATGACCAGGGACTATTCAGATAATAAGGATAAATCAAGAAGCATTTCATTTGCGCATCTTTATTGGACATGAGATACAAAGTACCAGTGTTATAGCTGTAGCTGCTACTAGAGAAAGGATTTGGGAGTCGAACTTATTGCTTATAAGAAAAATTTCCTAGTTCGGAATTATTTTGAAATAAACCACAAATTTCAATTTTAAAAAATTTAGCGTACATGATGGTCATTAGCGAAGAACTAATTAAACGGGTTAATGGGGGCCTCCGGGGCACCTTGACCTTGACTTTAGTATATGGTTCCTTCAAAACACAGTTATGTACCCACTGTGCTAGCAAGGATTTGGGGTTTTATTCTGGTATTGCTGATGGTATAAAACCTTGTTGTTTACTACCATGATTCTGGTATTTTAGGGAATTCAGGCCACATTAAATTAGAAGTTATTATGCCCATAGGACATCCCTGGAAACCTAGGAGAGGTGAGACTTTACCTAAGTCCATTCTAGGTTTTCAGCTGAAACTAAAAGACAAATGAACAAGAAAAAAACAGTGTATTAACTGGTGCGGTGCACATCACATGGGAGAAACCTAAACCAAAAGTAACTCAGAACAGTGACTTAGAGTTCTAGTTTATATGGAAAACAGTAAATTTGTAGACAAAGGACAACAGAAAACAGTTTTAGGCTTTGAAGGGCAACAAACTATAGGAAGGTAAATATGTAGGAGATACGGAGTGAAGGTTCTGTGCAGATTCCTATGGTGCCATCTCTGGGCTAAGAGTCTGTCACCAGTAAAACAAGAATTCACTAATCAACACATTGTATACCTTAGACTAATGTAATATGCCAATTATATCTCAAAGTTAAAAAATTTTATTTTTATAGATATCCACACAGATATGTAAATTTATCTATCCTGCCTGTATACAGATAGGAGGAACTTTTTCTGGGTTTGCTGCTGCTTTATGCCTTCAGCTCAAAATATTTTTTAGGTCAAAGAGGCATATTTTAGAGTGATGTATTTTGGTTTACTTCACTTCCAAGCTGTAGCTCCTTTGCTTCTTGCTTTGCTTAATCTATAGCATTTCTGCTTTAGACACCACAAAGCCAAAGCCTTTCTCAAAGGCACAGGCTGCCTCCTCTACTTCTCCCAGTATTTTCCATTTATTTCCTGTGTTTATTACATTCAACCAGCCCCATTTCTATAATTATAGACTTCTGAAATAACTGTTTTTTAAAATTGTTCAAAATGGAAAAAAATTATTTGTTAAAAATTAGAGAGGAGCCAAGATGGTGGCATGAGTAGGGCAGCAGAAATCTCCTCGCAAAACCATATATATTTTTGAAAATACAACAAATTACAACTATTCCTAAAAGAGAGATCACAAGATACAGTACAACAGCCAGGCTACATCTATATCTGCAAGAACTTAGCACATCGTGAAGGGGGTAAGATACAAGCCGTGGCCCAGCGGCACCCGAGTGCTCCCCTCCCCGAGCTCCTGGTGGGAGGAGAGGAGTGAGAGTAGGGAAGGACTGCTAAATACCCACCCCTAGTCATCCGCACCAGGAGCGCAGACACACAGTGCGTGGTGTGCAGGATATGAAGGAAATGGAACAGTAAAATATGCTAGCAGATCCCTGCAGCTGGCACCCCTGGGACAAAAGGAAAGTGAGTGTTTTTTGAAAATCTTAAAGGGACAGGGGCCTCACAGCTGGATGGAAGCGTCCCGACACACTCAGCTCAGCAGCTGGGAATCCTGGGAAACTCCAGACGCCCTAACCCCCTGGGAGGCAGTGCAGCTCTGAGGCCCCTCATGGTGATAAACAGCCTCCAGGTGTGGCCCCACCA